AAATTTGTATCAATGTCTCATTTGAATTTTTATAGCAACATTCGTAGTATATACATACAACTACGTAGATATACAAAAATTGGTATTTTATAACAAATGGATGCCAGTGACTTTACTTTCATAATATTTATTTTACTTACATTTTGGAAGTTTTATTTTGTATAATAAAACTAAATTTACGGATTTTATCGCGTTTAATTAACTACTTTTACTTATTTTTAATTCCGACGTTTTGGGTGCTTTACAACACCCATGGTCACGGGGTAAAGCATGGTAAAGCACCCGAAACGTCGGGAATTAAAAGTAAATAAAGTTGTTAATTAAACGTGATAAAATTCGTAAATTTAGTTTTATTCAATGTAAATTATTCAAAGTAGCGTTCGCGTAAATTTAAAAAATTATTAGTTTTATTTTGTTTTAAAGAAAAGCGTGCTTGTGTGTGTATGTGGGGGTGGGTGCATTTTCATCTCACATATTTCAAGAAGAAAATCATATAATGACGAAATTATCTACAAATTAAATGAATTAGACACTGAGTTGAACAATGTATTAAGTTTTTTTTTAAATCACAAATACAAATTCGATAGTGAGGCCGGTATCCAGAGGTATTTTCGAGTTCAAACTCAAACCTTACAATGACAACATTTATGTATAACACAATATAATCTAGTCTAAAATGTTGACATTGTGAAATTTGAGTTTAAAATCAAGTTTGTCTCTGATTACCAATCAAAGTGTAAATTAAATAGCACGCAATTTTGATAGTGGTGTCCTCCTCGCCAGTTGAGAAAGTGACCGTCCACAAAGAAAGTGCCATATAGATACAACAGAGGCATTCCCTCGTTCTATATTACACGTGCCCGAAGGAATGAAAAGCAGGTGATGATAAGTGACTAGCGCCACCCATAAACAACAAGGAAACCACCACCCAAACATCAAGGAAATTGCAGGTACGTTGCCGGCCTTTTAAAAATGAGAATGCTCTTTTATTGAAGATCTCTATTTTAAAACATCGCTGGTGGTAGCCGATTATACAAGGGAGTTGTGCGAGGAAGAAACTTTTAGTAAATCGCACAGTGGTGGACCGCCGTTCCTACAGACTTTATGTTCTCGCAAGTTATGTCGCGATGTGCCATGGTAAAATATAGCGGCTGGCATAAGACCGAATTCATTCAATTCTTCTGAGATCTCCCCTTGGTAGTTGCGATAGAGTATGCAAAAGGATGCAACATCTCTTCGCAGCGACAGTTAATCATACCGATCAGAAAGAAATCGGTCATCGAGGATTCGTAGCGCTTTGCACTGGATGCGGTCAAGTGGAAAGGGCTGACACTGGGCTGCATAGTCCACTGCTGAATGCCTCCACCAAAGATTGCCTTGCGGGGGGATATTTGCCAAATTTGTCATGTTTTGCATCCGGGTTGGCAACCGCATCTTTTTATTTTTATTCGTTATTAGGAGGAAGCTGCTGCCCATATCCAGATTTTTTTCTTTCTGTTACCTCTTAAATTATGATATATGTTGAGCATTTCCATAAAGCATATATAATATCTATGTTCTCAATATTAATATAATATATGTATTGAAAGTCCTTAAAATCTTTATTTTTTCAAAAAAAAATTGTGGGTCACTCATGGGCAAAAAAACTATCATATCTCTCAAGTTGGGCCAAACTGCACACGGTGTGCAAATTTGATTAAAATCGGTTAAGTAGTTTAAATGTCCATCGCGGACAAAAAAAGTGACACGTTATTTATATATATATATATATATATATATATATATATATATATATATATATATATATATATATATATATTAAGATAATCAATGTTGAGAGTTGAAAGTGAAATGCGGCTTGCTGAATGTACAAAACAAAAAAGTAAGGAATAACGAACGCCGAAACCGCTTCACGTTCGCAAATCTAAAATAATTGCTACGATTATTTCTTTTGTGGATTAAAGGTGGCAAATGAGCACACAGTCCAACTGATGATAATTGGATACTGTGGCCCAGTAATATCTACATTTATCTTCCATTAAGTATCGAAATGCAGATGCGTTGCCATCTCTGAGGACAAAGATGGAATACCAGAAACCAATTATAGAGATCTCCGGTTCTCTACACTCACCATACGAAGTCTGTTTTTCGTATGGCGAGCTATTTTACGTTATGTTATGTAATCTGTGAGGGCGTGGTTCTTCCAAGATAGACCCGAATAATTCGCGCTACAACCAAAATAATATGGCTGCGGTATGGCTCTACCACAAACAAGTATGTCATACATTTCTGAACAAGCCGTTAAGTATTACCCTTACCAATGTTGAACATTGATAACGTACGCGCTATTGAAACACACCTCACCGGCAAAAGAGATCGATTTTCAGACATCAATGGTAATATAATTTAGTATTTCGTACGACTGCAATGATTTTTGCTGGTGGTGTAGCCACGCTGCAGCTACATTATGGTTTTATCACAAATGGATACTCTCGACCGGGCAAGAACCATGTTTTTGAAGAATACCAGTACTAAAGTGTGTTAAAAAATAACAAATAGTTAACATAATATCGTGATATTCATTAAAACGAAACTGGAACCTTACCGGTGTGGGCAGCCACTAATATTCTCTTGTTGTGCAAAAACCATAATATAAAAGTATAATGAAGGCGAATAATTAAATATATTTGAACAACGCACTTTTTATTTTAATAATATAAAAAATCATACAAAGAAAACTGTCTATAAAACATTAAACTTATTCACGGCTGTAGAATTCAATTAATTTTATTATACGGGTCATAAAGCACACCTCACCAAGAAACAAAAGTCGGTGCTAAAATAAATTAGTTCCTGTTTAAAATCAAACTAGATAACATCTTTCTTAAACTTACAACTATCATTACAGGATTATGTAATAAGATAGTGTAGCTGTCTAACTGCTTTGTTTTTTTTAATGTGAGATCGTGGTTTGATTATGTGAGAACGTGGTCCTTTCCCAGTCAAGACGACCTATTCGTGCTGCAACGACAATATAGCTGCAGCGTAGCTTTACCACGCATTAAAACGAAAAACATATATACATACATAAACACTCACGCCTGTCACCCAGAGGGGTAGGCAGAGACTACAGACTTCCATTTAGCACGATCCTGACATACCTCTCTCGCCTCTTCCACATCCATATACCTACGCATACATGCTCATCGGTTAAGGGTACTCTTAATTTGGCCCATTTTTAGTATATCGCCAATTTGGTCGACAAACTTCCGCCTAGGACATCCATTTCCGACTCTTCCATTCACTTCTGAAACATACATTTGCTTTGTCAGTCTTTCCGCATTCATTCTTTCTACATGACCAAACCACCGAAGCATTCCTTTCTTAATCCTGGTCACTGCATCATCTTGCAAACCACACTCTTCTTTTATCACACAGTTTCTCACCCTGTCACTCAGATTCAGCCCTAACATACTCCTTAGCGACCGCATTTTTTACTGCATTTATTCTACTCTCGTGCTTCTTCTGCCACACCCAACTTTCACTACCATATGTTAAAGTAGGGACTAATACAGCATTGTGAATTGCCATACGTGCCTTTTTCGGCACATTCTGACTTTCCATAATAGAGTGTAGAGCCCCATTTACTTTATTTCCTGCATTCACTCGTCGTTCAATACCCTTATCATATCTCCCATCCCTGCTGAATACACATCCCAAATATACGAACTCATCCACTTGCTCAATTAACTCTCCTTCTATTCTTATTTCACATACCGTTTTTCTTTCTTCTCTTTGAAAAACCATCACTTTCGTCTTACTTAGGTTCACTTTCATTCCCCTTTCTTTTAATGACCTGTTCATTAATGTAACCATCATTTGCAACTCGGCCGCCGACGACGCAAGTATGACTTGATCATCGGCGTACAAAAGGCATTTGATTGTTAACTCACTATTCTTAACCCGCATTCTTCAACTTTCAAATTTTCCAAACAACTGTCCATAAATAGGTTGAACAAAACAAAAAACCTTAACTAAATTTTGAAGATGTGCTAATTTTATGTATAGAGAGTTTGAATCAAACAGAATTAATTTGTAATTTAGCTCAGCTGAAAAATATCAAAGATTACATTAAAAAATAAAGTTAATCTTAAACATAAGCTAGAAATTAGTGAATACTCGAAAGTTTCTTTTGCGTTGTACAAAGTTGGCCGACTCCATTATTCTTGTGAAATTTAATAAATACGAAATATTTTTAAGCACAACTTTACATTTTGAACATGAAATTTAAACTCATACAGAATTTCCTCACGAAAGAACTACGCTTTGCAAGAATATCGATATTGTAAGTACTATAATGCTAACCGGAGACACTTTCCTGGAATACAGGCATTTGTCTTATTCTTTGGTGAAGACGAATCATCTTAATCTTTAATCGAGAATAGATTGATCAGGTTGTGTATCACGGACTACATCATTAATTTACAAGTGAACTGTGAGCTCGTTTTTTATCCGTACTTGTATATATATATATATAAAGGATTTTTCGAGGTAACGTCGGGAGATTGCTGTAAATTTTATTTTTGTATGACCATGTAGTGACGGAGTTAGAATATCCACTACCCCATATCATTCCGCACGCGCCGCAAGAGGTGACACGGTGAAACTAACCAGGAGATGGGCAGCAGCGTCTTCTTAATAATAACTAAAAAATAAGAAACTACGGTTGTCAACCCGCCCACCAAGCCCCTACGAGACAATCTATGGGCAACACCTGTGTTGAGAGGTTGACTTTTAATTGGCTGTAATGGATATGGCGACAGTTGCTTTTGTATAGTATATGTTTACTCAGTAGCTTGTAGTGGTCGAAAATAAAAAGCACAATTATTTTACACTCTTGTAATTTGCAAAGTGAATTAATTTAGTTAATTCCTCTTTATTAAATAATAACATAAAAGGTACTGCGTGCTGGCAGTATAAGGAAATTCATTACTCGGCCAATGGGTGTCATGAGGGTGCTTGCGAAAAGACGCAGGTAAATCTGTCCGCATCCATCATGGCTTCCAGTTCAACGTAGGAGAATTTTTATTTCTGGTAAGTGTTTATTTTAAAGATAAAATAATATTTTCAATTATTTTTTAAGAAAAAGTTTGATGAAAAAAATTTTTTTATGATGAAGACAAGTTTTATACTAGGATGTCATAAGTAATATTTAACTAAGTATAAATTTAATAAAATAGAATGGCGCTCAATAAAGACATCCATGACTTTTTCTACTACCAGAGCGGCGTCATTCAGGAATGAGGAGACATATTTGATGAATTTCAATGCAGAGGAAGTTAATTTTATTCGAAAATTGTATATTATTTTTCGAAAATATGAGTTATATTTTATATGATTTAGATTCAAAATAGACACATCAAACTACGTATATACTTAAAAAAACAATTTTTTTTTATATGTGCGTTAAAAATTAAAGAATACAGCACTGAAACATTTTACATACATAAAAAATCGAAATACTTTTATTTAATTAAATCACAAATTGATGCTGTTGCTATCAGAATTACCAAGAACATCCAGGAATGCGGTCTCTACTGTTGCCCCTCTAAAGAACAAGTCTAAAGAACAAAAAAAAGTAGAGATAAGCTGCCACGAGAGTTGCGTGCGCAGCTCAATAGAAAACAAGCGCTGAGGAAGCTCTGAGTGCGCACTCGATGCTCGAAATTGAAAAGCCAGGAGAAAAAACTGACGGATTAGCTGTCAGTTGCAATCCAGGTTCAGCCTGTTGGAGATCAAGAGGTTTGCTCTACAAATTGAACCAGCAACTAACAAAAACCCAGACCCCCCGTCTGCCCGTTGACCAACAGTGCGAGCGGAAGTTGTAACGAGGCCAAAGGTAGAGCGGAGATCCTAGCAGAGCACTTTGCAGCTGTCTATCATTGACCCTGTACGCAGCTTATACCAACGACATCCCAACATTAAAAGGAAACCCACGCAAATGGGAAGACGATGTAGAGCTGGCTCCATATGCGGACGACAGCGTCTACTTTACATCGTCTAAAAGAGCTCATGTTGACGCTGATAGGATGCAGCACCTTTTAAATCTGCTGCCACCATGACTGGATGAGTGAAAGATGACCGTCAATGTTGGAAATATGATCGCTCTACTCGCCCACCGCCTCAGAAAACTTCCACCGCCGCTGGCGCTAAGAAGCCAGGATAGCGTATCAGGAGGCTATAACCTAACATGGATGCCGGATAGATAGATGTTGACATCGTCGTCTGCAATGCCAGACGTGCTCACGCGATGCTCCTTCCCGTCCTAGCATCCAAGCTATCATTGTCCACCAAGCTGAAAATTTACAAACTTTACATAAAACCGAAGATCACCTTCACTGTACCAGCCTGGTACGCGCTTCTGAGCGAACGGCAGAGGCAGCGACTATAGGCCCAGTAGAACTTAACTCTATGAATCTCTGCATTTGGCTACGTCTGGAATGACATCATAGTGGTCAACATAAAGATGGAGTCCATAAAAGGAGTTCGTGGTCCGGTTGGCGCGCGGTATGTTTGACCGTACTGAAAACGGGCCACAACCTCGCCTCCACAACCTGGCCCCTTTATATGCTCGTCCTCCGGATGACCTTTACCAAGAGGACTCCTCTCTACATAGATTTGAGAGTTGAGTAACAACCCACAAGGTCACCTTTTGAGTTAAATAAACCGACTACGGCAAATTATCGCAGTCTCTACAATGACGTTTACAGCTGCCACGACCAGTCCACAGTATTAGACTGCGAGGAAAATCCGGGTAATGTGGGACACCTCGAGATTCAAAAGTTGCTTGGGAAATGAAATTCATGCAGAAGACAACAGTGAAAAAGTTCAATTGTAGACATTCGCTACCGGAACAACAAAAGAAAAGGTTAAGAAATCATCTGAATAAAATAGTGAACGTATTAGGGTGACCAATCGTTAGTTACCATAGAATACCTACTCTAATACATAGTTACCAACCCATAGCGATCAATCGTATAGTCTCCAAACGATAGTCAGAAGATTTCCGCGACTAGTTGACCTATTTAACCGCTGGTCCGCTGGCTGTCTAATGGTGGTAATTCGTGCATTCTTATTGGACTCCCGTCCATAGTATATAGTTGCACCCACCGACGGTAGACGAACCCTGGAAGCTATAGGTCGCTCACATCCTGCATATATATATATATATTGCAGGATGTGAGCGACTCGTTTAATATGTTCGTTAACATTAACCCCGCGAGTTTCACCCATTCGGCACATTCCCTGGCCCTTCGCCACCGTATAGAAAATGGACCCTACTGGATTCTCCCGTATCAACATGCTGATTATTTTGACTAAAACCGCAAGGTGTTTCATCTTCGCTACATATTGTCAGGGTCACGAGAACGCTTTCGCACAAATTCGCGTGCCACCGCACTAGCGTCAGCCACCCCACGGCAGCCCCTCCTCGGTAGAGGACAAATACTTCCCCATGATTATAATAGCCTACAAGATCTTAAAATATTCCCATAGCCACAACGGCGAAATTATTTATACTAAATCTAAAACATAAAGTTTTATTTTGTGTTTTCGGGCAATATAGAGTAACATTCATATAAATATCTACTTATACTCGTATCTCACGTACTTTGCGGTTTACTAACGTTAAACTGCTTTATTACGCTAAACATGATTGCTTCATTGAGCGTGGTATTAATGTGGATATCGCTTTCGCGATTAGCAAACAACGCTACGCAGTAGCAGAAAATTACGAAAAACATATATACATAAACATAAATACTCACGGCTGTTACTCATAGGGGTAGGCAGAGACGAACGAACTGTCATTTAGCACAACCCTGACACACTTCTCTCGTCTTCGTTACATCCGTATACCTACGCATACATGCTCCTCGTTTAAGGGTCTTAATCTAGCCCATCGTCAATGTATCCCTAAATTGGTTTTTAATTTTCGTCTGGGGCGTCCCTTGCCGATACTGCCGTTCCATTTTACACCATAAATTTACTGTTTCACTCTTTCCTCGCTCATTCTTTCTAAATTACCAAACCACCGAAGCCTGGTCCTGGTCACAATGCAAATCACGCTTTTCCCTTACCCTTACACAATTTCTTACCTTGTTATTCAGATTCAGCCCTAACGTATTACCGCGTTTCTCGGCATTCTTCTTTCGTCCTTCTGCCACATCCAGTTTTTACTACCATACATTAAGGCAGGGTCTAACACAGCTTTGTGCATTGCCACACGTGCTTTTTGACACATTCTGACTTCTCAGAAATAATTACAGTATAGTCCGGTTACAAGTCCTGTAACCTTACCAACGGAAGTTACCTTTACCATCAGGAATGTACTGGTACAGAATTACAATTAACACGGAAAACATAACGTTTTTCGAGATAAACCATTTTTGGATGAAAATACAATAACTAATTGACAGCAATATTTTTGATATAGCAACATGAGAGTTAATTTTATTTTAGCATCTTATTTTTACGCAGAATTGTGTCAGCGACGTAACATGTTTCAGTTCTCCAGTACTTTTGTTAATTTTGTTTCAAATACTGAATGTTCGCAACAAACTTGCAAGGATTGCATTCCATTTAAAAATCAGAACTTGATTTGCTACGGATCTCTTCAACGGGTTATGCGGATCGTCAATTAATATGTACTTCACTTCATATTCTTGTAGAGCTCAAGGTTTTTTAAACTTCTAATAAAACAATTATCTGTTTATTGTTTATCAGAATTATAACGTACGTAACGTATTATAATTACGTGCAGTGAAATTTCTAAAGGAACTGTGTTCGTGACATTGCTACTGATGATAAGTGCAGCCCTCTTTTCTCGCTCAAAGTATAAATATAATTAATAAATAAAGACAACTGTCGTATATTTTAACCAAATATTTTAATTAAAATATATTTATATTTTATTCCTGAAATTCCGAAAAATAATGTTTTATGTAATTAATATATTTCAATATTAATGAATATGTGATAATATATTTACAAGTTCGTTTGCTTGAAGTGATGACACGAAATTACGATGGCCGAATACACCAAGAATATATTTTATTTTGCAATATTAATGCCAGGGAGAACTTCATTGAGTTATTATGTACTACGTACTAGAGGAGACACTGCATTCAGCTACTCTGTTGCACTCAACTGCGGTGTATGCACTGCACTTTAATCAGTCACTCGCTAGGCGCATGTAGAGTTGTCACGTGTTGTGTTGATTTAAAAAAAAATCTCTTGATAAAAATATGCCTTCGTGTGTACTTAGGTATTGCACAAATAATTCAAGAAATGTCAGTAAAAGCCAAGGAATTACTTTTCATCGGTGAGTAGATATTTAATTATTAAAAAAAGCATTATTGATTAATTATTAAACAAATTATTCCTTTGACGCCAATTTGTGTCATGAAATATAGATTATGAAATTTATTTGTTCAGATGCGACATTTTTGCGAGCAAGTGTAGGGCGATTATATTACGTACAATTTTTTTTGTAGAAACAAATAGAATTATTTATAATTAGGCTAAATTAATTACGTTTATATTTCCTGATTATTCTTTTATTTTATTTTTAGGTTTCCACGTCCAAGCCACGAAAACAGAGAAAAGTGGATTAAATTCGTCCAAAATAATCGTAGGGAAGAGACGTGGTTACCAACAATTCACACATACATTTGTTCTTTGCATTTTAGGGAAGAGGATAAATATAGTACGAAGAAAGGAAGAAATTTTCTGAAAAAGTCTGCAGTACCTTGTATAGATGTAAGTGATGAATGTTTATTATATATACTATTGTAACAATAGAAATGTAGAGATAAAAAAAACTTTTAAAATAAATAATTATATTTTAAAATACTAAAGTAAATAACTAACTTAAATACTCTCAATTTTGTTTAGTCGATAAATTCTGATGTTTTTCAGCCTAGGGGTATTGATGAATCAATGGAATCAATGAATCAACAAGCAATGGATCCTATATCGATACCAGTGAGCGACTCAGAATCGATTTTCGATAGTCCTAGGAAAATTATCTTGAAACGAAAACTTCAAAACGTCACTATAGTTAAGAAAAAAATTACAAAAAAAAATTAAAAAAAATTCAGCGGCAAAATAGAAGTTTCAAGAAGAAATGTGAATCTTTAACTGGTATTATAAAATCCGTAAGAAAGAAATTTTGTCTGGATAGAATAGCCGAGACTAATATAATGGCTAAAGCAAAAGTTTTTGAACTAAATAAGAAGTTTTTTAAATTAAGGAAACAGAAAGGACAATATTTGAAATATACACAGACTCTGCGTAAATTTGCCTTAACATTGCATTATTACTCACCAGCGGCTTACAAATATGTAAGACAAATTTACAGTAACGCTCTTCCACATCCACGTACTCTCTGTCGATGGTATGGATCAGTCAACGCTGAACCAGGGTTCACCAATGAAGCATTTCAAGCTTTAAAAATCAAATGTAACGTAACAGAACAACCGGTAGTGTGCACGTTGATCTTTGATGAGATGGCCATTCGTAGGCAAAAATTATTTCATAATCAACAGAATGTCGGTGCTGTTAATTTTGGCGCAGGTCCACAAGAAGCTGACGAAGAAGTTGCATCACAGGCTTTGGTGTTTATGTTAGTCTCACTAACGGAAAATTGGAAACTGCCTGTAGGCTACTTTTTAACTTCCAGTATAAACGCTGAAACCAAGGCTAATTTAATAACAACATGTTTACAAAAATGTCATGAAGTTGGAGTAACGGTCGCAAGCCTTACATTCGATGGTTGCCCTGCAAACTTCTCCACTGCCGAAATTCTAGGTTGTGAACTAACTGATTTGAATAACATTAAGACTGATTTTCCGCACCCGTCAACTCAAGAAAAAATTTGTGTATTTTTAGATCCATGTCATGTAATCAAATTAATTCGAAACACCTTTGAGAGGAAAAGAATATTATTTGATGAAGATGGCAAAAAAAGTGAGATGGGAATTGCTTATATATCTGAATAAACTTCAACAAAATGAGGGTCTGAGATTTGGTAACAAACTAACACCGCGTCACATCCATTTTAGAAACCAAGTTATGAAAGTTAAACTAGCTACGCAATTAATGAGTATGAGTGTGGCAAAAGCGCTGGTTCTTTGTGATGAAGTATTAAAGTCAACGCGGTTTCTGGATTCGTCAGCAACTGTAAATTTTATAACTATAATGAACAATTTTTTTGATACAATGAACTCGAGAAAGTGCCATTTTTATGGATTTAAACGTCCATTAGATGAATGTAACAAATCTACAATATTTTCATTTTTAAATAGTGTGAAGGATTATATACTGAACTTGAAATTTCATGTAAAATCTAGAAGAGTTATAAAAAAGAAAAAATTTTGAACCTCAAATAAAATTGTCGATAGCAAAAAAGAAAATTGTAGAGTCACCAAATAAAACGGGGTTCGTTGGCGCAATTATCTGCATAGAATCTCTGAAAACACTTTACAAACATATAGTTGGAGAAAAACAGTTTGTCAAATTTATTTCCACTTACCGACTCAGTCAAGATCATTTGGAGTTATTTTTTGGAAATATAAGAAAACACGGTGGATACAATAATAATCCTAATGTTTTGCAATTCCGGGCTGCGTACAAAAAAACTCTAAATCACTTGGAACTACGATCATCATTTACTGGTAATTGTATCCCACTGGACAATTTCACTATTTTACAATGTTCTTCTACTGACATAATTAACAGCACAACACCCCTTAATAGACATGATGACCAACAATATGAAGTTTTATCATCTACCTGTATACTGAATTCTGATATTGAAGCCGAAAATAATTGTAACATATTTGCTGAGACACTAAATAAAGAACATGTTACGAGTAGTTCCCAATTGATTGTTGGATACATTTCTGGATATATAGCCAGAATTTTAACAAAATTATTAAAATGCGAAGAATGCGTAAATAGCTTAATCACGACAGAAAAGCTGCCACACCACAAATTGATAACCATCAAAGATATGGGTGGCTTATGCTACTCTACTGGCGATGTGTATAAAATATGTTTGACCACGGAAACCGTGATACGAAAACTTATAAGACAAAGAATAAAATATAACTTCAATTTCATTATTGTTAAAACCTTAGAATTTTTCATTGAAAAAGAGGTATTTACATCCTTAATTCAACATTCATTTAATCAGCCAAGTACTTTCAAACACAGGGTTCACTTGATTCGGGCTATCATAAATAAATACACAAATATTCGTTTAAAACACGAAGCAAAAACTGATCAAGATAAAGAATATTTATCTAAACGGCAAAAATTTACTAAACTCATATTGTTTAAAGGCACTTAATAAAGTTTATTTTTTATTTTTACCAAAACATTTATAAATTTAATAATTGAAATTAATTTTCAGCAAAAAAGAAAACAAATAAGTGATTTAAATAAATATATTTCATTTGCTTCGATTCCTTTCATTTTATATAGTTATCTTTTAAAATATTCATATAAACATGTAATTCAAATGCAATTGTGATAATATTATTTATTATCGTATTAATTTACCTCTTAATATTCAAAATAATTGACAAATTATTTAAATTTTAACTCGTTTTAATAAATTTACTACAATTTATGTAATTTAAATAAACAATAGTTATTAATTACATACTGATCATTCTACCTAACTAATCTATGATGACAAAAAACCGCGCATGCGCGACTCTACTATTACCGCGCATGCGCGAAGAAATAGAGTAGCGCACAATTTTTGTTTGCAATAGCTTCTCTAGTACGTAGTACATTATAACTCAATGGAGAACTTTAAAGAAATATTAAATGAGAAAATAGAACAACGTCAAAATAACAAAATCAATGCTCACTACACTTCTACTGATCCCAAGAAAACAACGAATGCCGCGTTTTTATTGAGATGCTTGAGCGTTTTATTGGATTGTCACCAAAAGAAGCTTTGAAACCATCAACAGTAAGCGTTTATAGTTGTAGGTCACTACAAGATGCAACGCCTGGTGATTCATCGTACACAATATTTATTATTAGATTGCTTTAAGGCGATAAACAAAGCTCGAGAACTAGGTTTTTTCTTTTTAATTTTCAAGATTTTGATTTGTACTAAATTATAGACTTTTGAGTGCTGTAGATATATTTTTAGATTTTTAATTTTTTACATTTTCTATGAATATTATCGCTCCAATACATTCACAGCCGGATTTCCTACGGTGTCAAAATTGTACCGACGGTTGGCTGTTTAAAGGTAAAAAGGGATTTAATATACACATTAAACAATGCCATAATAAAAATATTTCGGCTTCACAGCCTACCGTAGAAATTCATGACTCTTCTGGTAATATACCTAATAACACAAATTCTTCACTTTATACCTAGTAACGTACCAGTGGTTAAAAGAATTACCAGAGGTGCGAGGATTCAACTTGCTAAAGAATTATCATTCACTATTCAAAATTGTCTAACGAATTGTGAAAAAAGTTTGCAAAAATTATTTACATTCGCGTATTCCCACTTTCATTTTAGTAAAACAATAAATAAATCAATTACGTCTCAACTAAAAGAAAATTCTTTTCAAAATTTGAATTACTCGATTAATACTCATTTCTCTCGATCTTATCCTAAATTTGATTTAAAAAAGTAGTTGAATCAAAAGTAATGGACGGCGACTTAAAAAATGCATCCCGTATTTGATTCTCAGATGACATCCTCGCTCCTCGTAAGGTCGAAACTCTTGAAGGCCTTCGTCAGAAACATCCTTCGGTCAATCTTTCCCAGAATTTACCGCTGCCTCCCAATACTTTATATACTATATGCAACCATTACAAGTTTCCGAAAAAGACACTTTAGACGCAATATTGTCATTTTCGTATGGCTCTGCCGGCGGCATTGAAGGGATTACGCCTCAACATCTCAAAGACCTTGTAAGCGTATCTGCCGGTGACGCCGGTAGGGTACTTCTTAATGACATAACAAAATTATGTAATTTTATGCTTTCTGGTAATGGTACTTATATGGGGCAAGATTGTGTGCCTTCATAAAAAGGATAACGATATCCGTCCTATTGCTGTTGATTCTAGATTTCGAAGCTTAACTTCAAAATTAGCTTGCATTACATACATTACATAATCTCAAACCCTAAGACAAAATTTCAACCTACTCAACTAGGCTTTGGCACCAAAGGTGGCTGTGATGCGGCGGTACATTCGGTGCGTACTTTCTTAACTAATTCCAATGCAGATGTTCTTCTGAAGGTCGATCTTAGAAATGCTTTTAACTCTATTGATGGGATAACCCTGCTAAAAGAAGTGGCTAACAATACCCCCGAAATATATCATTACGTTTGGCAATGTTACAGTCAAAATTCAAACTTGTTTTATGAAAACCATATTATTGAGTCTGCTGTCGGTGTTCAACAGGATGATCCATTAGGTCCAGCTCTTTTCAGTTTGGGAATTCAACCTATTATTTCAAGTAGCTGGACGACGGTACACTGGGAGGTAAAGCAGATGACGTCCTCAATGATCTTACTCATATTTTTCAAAATTTTAAAAATATTGGTCTTGAAACAAATACAAATAAATGTGAAATATTTATTTATTTATTTTATTTTATTTATTTTATTTATTTAACATATTATACATAATAAAGAGGATATAATATGGTACAACATAAGCTTAATGAAAAACTTTACCGTGTACCACAAACCACCGAAATATTTTTTTTAAATATGAGCTACACCTTAATCTACAAAATATGTTTAAGGCAACACTATTAAACACTAAACAGCAATTGGCACGGTCAACACGCGGTAAATCGGCAATACATATAGTTGCCGACACGAGTGGTGAGCACAGATAAACTGTGGTGGGAGGTAGGTACACTGTCGGGCAGAATTATTGGATACCTTTATTATTTCAATTCGTAATTTAATATTTTCGGCGACTTTTATGAAAATGTTTACTCGAACACATCAACTTTTACTTTGATATAGTAATGTTGCAGATATTCATGTCCGTTATTTTATTATCTACTATAGAAGTATTTAATATATGTACCTGATG